ATGAGGTAACCTGGAGATCTCAGTGGAGGATCAGGCAGAGGATAACATGGTACATGTTACAATGGCTGTGAAGGTGGAAGAAGGAAGCCACCATTGTCATGTTAACCATGCCACTGGTTGGGACCTCAGTCTGTGAAGACTGTGTTGATCAGCTGTGCACCAACCTCAACACATTAAAAAAAACCCTCTCACACAGGCATCTTCCAAGACAGTAAGTAAGTATGAGATATAGTATTAGCCAGGACTATTTTTAATAGCAGCTACCAAGCAACCAGAAACTACATTAATCTGGCACCTAACAATCCCCATGGGTGCAGGTTAACTGAGAGTCTACTGGATATACTTTTCCATCTCTCTCTTGTTCCATCACTCTGGGTTCAAAAGCAACGGCCTTGCATACAAAACAATTCTTTGCTTTTTAAAAGTTGCTTATGCTGCTTCTTAAAATATGTTTACAAAACTTTAATAATAAGGGGAATGATCTGATAAAAAAACCCCAACAACAACCTTATTAACATCACCGTCTCTTTAAACAATAGAATATTATTTTTATGATGAGGAAATGTTCAGTAGAGTGACCAGAACTAGTAAAAGTTATTTTTTAGGGGGCTGCAAGACCCATGGTTGTTCTGGGTAGAAAATGTTGGTGTTGTAGTCCAAAGAAATAATTTTCCAAGCTCTGAGAGAAAGACAAATAATTGTAATTGAGCAAGATGCATGTGGAAAATTCTATACTGCCCATACATAGAAAAATGTGAAGGAAGTGATAAACCAAATAAATATTTTTATTTAGACCTCACAACCTCTGAGGATGCCTGCCATAGATGTGGGCAAAACATCAGGAGAGAATGCTTCTGGAACATGGCCATACAGCCTGAAAAACTTACAACCCAGTGATTCCGGCCATGAAAGCCTTTGACAATGCAATATTTTATTTTATTAATACTAAGACATCTATTATTTGAAAGTGGGCAAAGAGGTGGTGAAACAGTAGCATTTTGCATCCATCTTTTGATGGGCAGTTGTGTGCTTGAGTCTTCACAAAAGAAAAACTCTGACTGGAGCCCTTTTTTCCTGTCTGGTCAGTTGGCAACCCCTGTGACAAGTAGTTTTGCAGTTACATTATTTTATTGTTTAGCCATGTGCTGGTCTATGTCAACACAGATTGTCAAAGTCATAGAATTTTATTGGACAATGTGAAAACTCATTTGCACATTTTATTGCCGTCCATCATTGCCTCCATTCACAGTCCAGAGGCCTTCCATTGTTGTGAATAACAACTGGGAACAATTTCTGGCTATGGTCAATATAGAGGTTGCATTCTTCCACCGACAGGTGTTCTTTGCTAATTGCTTCCATTAGTTCCTCTTTATTGCAAGGCTTCATCAGCCGATGAATGTAGTGCTTCAACAAATACCAAACTAGATCTATCAGCTACAGTATGTGGCATAGTAATCAGCATTCTCTCGTCAAGCACCTCCCTAGTAAAATCCCCAAGTCAAATGCATAGCATTTACTGCACAGCAAAATATGCATTTTATACAAAGCAATATTTCAGTCTGAAAAAATGTATTGGTACACAATTGAGGAAGATGCATGAAACAAAACCCCCAGGAGCTGACAATGTGAGAATGTGCAGAGAGGATAAAGTTTCGTTCCAGTTAAGAGAAGAACCACCTTACTATGTGTAAAAGAAAGAGATATAAGCAGATAGGGGACATCTATAAGCCGTATAAATCTTTACCAATTCCTACTATGCTAATAGGTACCTTATGAAACTATTAGTGCCCTGGGAGCCTCATTGCAAATAGTGTTGGCTGCTCCTTATAAACTCTTTTATTTATGCAAGTGGGAAACCTGTATCCAGATGTTGTTTCCCCACAACTTCTGTCATCTCTGGCCATTGGCCATGTTGATATGAGTTGATGAGAGCTGGAGTGTAACAAACTCTGAAGAGTCAAAGTGTAAGCTATATTCATGGACAGAAACAATGGATCTTGATCAAACTAATCAATGGGCTTTGATCGAGCTCAAATTAGTCATGACTAAATCCCATTGGTGTTAATAGAAGAGTTACTGTCAGGATCATAGGTCCTGCCATGCTTCTGTATATGCTTTGTTATACTGGATAATGGAATTTACTCCACAGCTGGTGATGCTGGGGAAAGGGATGGCTTATCATTCATGGCTTGGGATATTGAGCAGATGTGTGGGGAGGAAAGCGAGCAGTGAAGTGCTAAGGTCATTCTTCTGAGAAACCTGGTATGAAGGGGAAGCCCTGGGAAGACAGATTTTTTTTTTGGTTGTTGACAAAATGGGATGAAAGCCTACAAACTGCTTTGCACTAGAGATAGACTGTGCAATTTAAAGGCTTTTCACTCCCTGCAATGCTAGAAATTTGGGGAACAGGAGGAAAATTTCACTTGGGAGGCAGACTTTGTTTTTGAAGGGGCATTTTGTCCTCCCCATAACTACACCTTTGAGTTGACTGCAGTAAAAATGATGAGTGCCTGTTTCTGTCTTTTGTGAAAGCATCTGAAATTGTATTGAAATTGATACTTGTGTGAATCTTGAAAATTAATAATATGCTTTGCAACAGTTCTCTTTCAGTAACACTCTTGTAGAAGCAAGCATAATAATCTTGCTTCCTTTATACCTAAAGCCAGGGCTGCCTGTATTCTTGATACTGAAATGACTGAAAGTCAGCCGATCTCCTTGATTTGGCGCATGCCAAGCGATACTCTGTGCATGTACTGGGGCGAGGTCGGCTGTGTTGCTTTCACTTACTGCCTCCTGTGCGACCACCTGCCAGAACGAGCCCTGCTTATCCAAATGCCGGCTGGTATAACTGGAGCATGAGGGGCATGACTCCTCCCTGTGAAGGTGGGGTGTGTTGGCATGAAAGGACAACAGATCCTCTCCTGCTCCAATGTGGCTGGCACCCAGAATCAAAGCAGGAGGCATTTAGGCCAAGGAGTTTCAGCCAAGCCAAGTTTCGGGAACTTATTGTTCCTTCATTTGGATGACATGGTTGTGTGTATGGCAGGGAGGAAATCTTTTCAGAATAAAACTCTTAGCAATGACATTAAGGAATAATGCAGGGCTTGGTACCATGAGTGATCAATGCTGTTTTAATCTGTCTCTCTCTCTCTCTCTCTCCCCCCCCCCCCCCCCCCCCGTTCATTTTAACAGTGTGATTTTAGGATAGATTTAGAGCCAAAATCAGCAAAGTCTGCAATACAGCCAAACACTGCTTTTCTATATTGGGATTCAGATATATTCAGACAGCCATTTTGAAATTCTGCATGCTTTTGACAAATCTGCTTGAGTCTCGTGTCAAACAAACTGACACAATGCATCACTGAAACATTTTAATTATCAGAGTAAGACCTCTCCCACATGAATAAATAAACAACAAATTGAATAGTCTTAGGAGCACAACTGTGCAAAATTGAATTCACTGCATACATTTGTTATCCAAGCTATATGTATATATGAGTGCAATATGATTTTCTGAGTTGTAAGAATGGACTTTGATGTTTTGAAGATCGACCAACTATGATAAATATTCATTTCCCAAGCAATTTTAGATAAACCGTTCTGAAGTAATTTTGGGATGCAAAGGCAGTTTCTATTTTTTAATTGAACAACTAACTTCTTCATCTAACATGGGATAGATTTAAATTGCAAATTCAAGCTTTTGTGTCTCATAATTAGGTTTTATCAACATTGTTTTATATGCTACTGGTGATGTGACACTTATGAAAATTCTACCATTTTCTTTGTTGTTGTCCTCTCCAGCCTCCATATGTGAGGCACTTCCACAGTGGTAAGTTTTCCCTACTCAAGGAGGACCTCATATAATTAACGATCCTGAGAAACCTGAATCATAGGGCTTTCCAGAATGTAGCTCTCAATATTTTATTTTTGGATTTGCTTCTAATCATGGGAGTTGTAGTTTTACAAGGTCTTTACCCTTTTCTGCCAAAGAGTGCTGGTGCCTCACCAAACTACAAATCCCAGGATTCCATGACATTGAGCCATGGCAGTTAAAGAGGTGTCAAATTGCATTAATTCAATATTCATATTTGGTTATACTCTCCCCTCCTTCCATCCCTCCCAATATATTGTATCGATATTAGGAAGTATTGTTAGTCATGCAAGCTGCTGTAGCAATACCAAAAGCTACCCAAATATTGCATCTTTGCAGAGTAAGTGTTAGTTGTTGCCATCCTTTGATAGTGGCATGGCCCCAATACTCTGACAGGTCAGACACCATTAATCATTGCCTTAAATACTCTAAAAGAAAAATCCTGACTTGATGCTCAAAGCTGCACCTGTCATCTGGACTTGACTTCCATTCAGATTCCACAACACAGCATCGCTCTGGGGCATTGTGGGGCATTAAAAGAAAAACATACCACCATCAGGTGCTTTCTGGAGGACTGCTGCAACCTGATTGTTGTTTTCATTGGGAAAGAGGGATCTGCTAGAGAGCAGAGTGCCTGGCATCCCTCAGACCTGCAATTAGTCTTGATCCTAGGAAGATATTCCATTTTTGTGATGCCCACTAACAACCTCCAACATTAAACATGCATGAATGCCATTGCTTCATGCACAGAGACAGAATATCTCTCCTCATTTAATACTGACAGCATTCCTTTTTAGAAAAGAGCCAATATGGTAGAGTGGGTTAAGTATTGTATAAGGATTTGCAGGACAAGGCTAGTGGTAGGGGGAGCAGAACCAACCAAATACTAGCCCTGTTACTTTTTACGTCATAATCCTCAGAATTCCTTAATTAGAATCACAATCCTGGATTATCGTTTTGGGTTTTTTTTTTGGGCAGAACCATGTGATGTAATTCTTTTTATTAACCCCATTGAATTCACCATTATTTGTGGGGAGTTGGCACTGTGGGGAATCTTTTTGACTGCAGTGAAAAGTAGACGTAGGGTTGCACTGTTCGTGAATTAATAATTTCCAACTGTTTTCTTTAGGTTACCTCTGAACATGAAACCAGGGAGCTCCAAAAATATATCCATCAGGAGATGCAGAAATACATGGCGAGACATCTGTGAAGTTGGTATTTTTTTCTTGAGCTTATATTAATGGTGAGCAGCTTTCAACCAGTTTTCTAATCACTCATATAATCAGCAATACTTTGACAGAGACTCTGAAGACACCCTGCTTATTTAGACCGATAAAACAAGACAGCTGCCCATATGCTCTAGGGTCCTCAATATAACTAAAGAAATTATAGCCTAACTCTATCTGTTTAAGATAATTTTTTTCACAAATCTCCTTAGACATAGAAGTCTAGCTATCCTATACTGTATTCTAACATTTTCAAAGAAAAAGAAGACTAAGCAATTCTAACCTACCAGGCAATGGGCTGAGAGGCCATTCGTGCTTGCTCCTGCTGTTAGGCAGAGTGAAGTGATTGCTCAATGGTACATGCTGGGGGGCAAGCAACAACAGCTGTGTGTTTCCACTGGAGAAGAGAGTTCAGGGTGTCCCATCAACCATGCCCATTTGGCAGTGATGTTGCCCCTCATCCCAGTCCATTACTGATGGCAGGCACTGGTCTGTGATGGAAAGGAAGAGACCAGTTTGACTGAACTTCATGAAAGGGGGCAGTTAGGGATAACTGTTCCATGGATCTGGCCATTTCTTTATTCCAGAAGTTGTCTGGACTTTGACAGAATTACCTGCCTAGGTAACACAAAGCTTCCCATGAGTGATCATGAATTAATTGATATGCATAAGCCTTCTGAAACAAATAATCTTTACAGGTCCCCCACCAACGCAACTCCCTTGAATTGGATTCCAGTGAGTTCTTGAATTTATTTTTGTAAAATTGCTTTTAATAATTATTATTTAATGCAACTGTTTATTTTAATTTACTGTACAATGTTTAGTATTGTCTTTTGTTTAAATTTTTATAGGTTTTTTTTGTTTACACAGGCGTTGAATGTCTGGAACCGTCGCCATGGGGAGATAAAGTTTTATATCTATTTATTATTATTATAAAATAGATATTATTGTTGTTGCAATAACACCACAATTGTGAATACAAAGCATGTGTTAACATGGAGAGATGTATAGCTCTAGTTTACAAATCTGTAAGTGCAATGCAGATGCCAGGGAAGATCTAAATTACTACCTGGTTACTTGGGGTTCTAAAATCTGGTGATAAATGCAGGAGAAAATCATATTATGAGTGCTATTCAGGAATGTGAGAATCCCATGTTTAAATATGTATTCCACCGAGATGCTTATGCCAACATTACAAGTTACTGTCTTGCAGAGTCCCTTACCTCATGGGGTTGCTGTGAGGTTAAAGGGCTGCTCTGGGTATTTTGGAGGACAAGTGGACTGTAACAATAAGACATCCATATTGCAAATTTATGTCATACTTGGGGAAGGGGGGTGAAGCTGAAAGAAATCACTCTGCCTCAAAGATTGTCTTGGCAACACCTTGAATGCCTTCTGGAGTTTTAAAAAATGGCCATATGTCAGGTAGAAAGTGGTTTAGTTCAGTGGAGTCCATGGCATGAAGGACTTTAAAGGTGAAAAGCAACACCTGAGACAATATATGTTAAGTCAAAACACAGCTGTCTCTCATCGGCTTACCAGGAACCAGGCATCTTCCTTCAAGGTTGCTCATTAAACCATATTTCTCTATCACTGAATCACAGTATTTAGTTTCTGGAAATATGATTCTTTCCTCAGATTCTGCTAATTGTTAGTAGATTCTACTCAACTGTCTAACATTAGATGTCTGTTTGTTCAGGGGGTATATTTATATTCAACAAAAATTTCATAGTTTTATATAGCCTTTCATATAGCTTTTCTGATGTCAGGAACATGCCCGTAGGAAAAAAAAACTTGATGAGATGTACAAGATTTATGTATGAGCATATTGTCATAAGGAGCCTTCATCACCTGAAGTACCTGATGATCGTAGTTATATTTGCATGAACCTGGATGATTGTGTGAGTAACCGAATGCTGCTTCTGAGAGAAAACATCTGTTGTGAATCTTATTTCCCAGAATATTGCTGAAACTAAAGCAGAAGATGAAGAAAACCAGGATGTTAACCTAACAGAGTGGCTGTACTGAGCATTGGGTTAGGATACCAGCAGACTAGGCTTTGAACTCCTGTTGGTCATGGAAACTCACTGGGTAACCTTGGACAAGTCTAACCCTCTTAGCCTCTGAACAAATCTTGCAAAGAAAACCTTAGGGTTGCCATCAGTCAGAAATGGCCTGAAGCTGTGCAACAATAGCAGCAAAATCTCAAGACCACACTCTGGAAGAAGAGGTGGGGAGATGTTTATTTTCTAATTTATAATGAATTAGATGCTCTGAAGTCCAGGACCACCAGGGGGTGGTTTTCCATTTAAATATAAGTCCACTTGGCCTAGACATTTGGCATGGGGTGGGGGTAAACTAAAGCAGGCAAATAAAGGGGGAATATGTTTAAATGGGAAATTGCACCCCTCAAAGGGTTCTGGGAATGTATTGTCTTCCAACCTCCCAAATAATGAGAATGCACAACATTTATTTGGGTTAATTTTAGGGCAACTTTATTAATTAGTTATCTACATAACATTTAACTGACATAACTTGTGTGTGTATAGAACTTGGTGTAACTAAGTCGAGATAGCGTCCTTATCTGACCTACCCCTCGACTATTTGGGCGGAACACCTGGGTCCCCTGGCAACATGACCTGGGCAACCACTAAGGTAAATATGTGGAGAGATTTTCCTCCAGGTTATTGAGGCTCAACTCTCTCTATTCCAAGGCCTTTAAATCTTGCCTCACCCCGAGCTGGTAACATAGCAGGAGAGTGTCTTTAGTTGTTGGCCTTCACCCCATAAGGGGGGGGGTGCCTTGGGTGTCCACCAACTTTGAGCTTTTCTGGACTATTTATTGCTAGGACCTATTTAAAACCACACCATCCCAGCTAGCCCCTAAGAACAGTATAGGGTAGGTAAAAAAACCATCCTAGAACATAGGAAGGAAAAATTCCTACCTGGTCCCAATTGGCAACCAATGATTATACTGTTAATGGGTGGGGGTGGTAGATTGATGGCTGGAAGTGACTGGGAAGGAGAGGCTGGCTCAGGCCACGTGCTAGCCCCACCTCTTCTTCCAGACGGTTCCAACCATCTCTTCCTTTGGGGGAGGAGGCAAATTGCTCTCCCTCCCCCCCCCCAGCTTTGCAGGGGTGGTAAAGGTCCTTCTTGTCATTTGGAGAGATATTGGAGGAGATGCATTCCACCAGTGTCTGGGAGAGAGCAAAAATTGTCCCTAGTTCCCGAGAAGCTACCCTGCCCTGTGCTAAGTCATGCGACTTTAAACACAGGAAAGTCCCATGTGGAATTATATTGACACCGAAAGCTGGATTAAAATATAGAATAGTGTTTGGTAAGTAAAAGAAAGGGTTAAAAATAACTCCCACCATCAAACTGGTGGAGATTTCTTTCCACAGTTTCTGTACAAATTGGCCTGTACCTGAGCCGTGCCTTTTTTGAGACTCTTAGCTATCTATATAGAGACAGTAGGCAATGGAGTTAACTATAAAGAGACATCTGTCACTGTTTTTGCAAATATCTGTTTCTCTGAGTTTCTTTAATAAGAATGTGTTTTATATTGCTGTGTTTATACGTATCCTTTTCCATTGTAGGGTCTCCTATGGATTTTTATTACACCAGATAGCGTCAGCATTATGCGTTATGGGGATGGACAGAACCGCTGGAAGAAATTGGAGGCACCTTGACAAACTTCTTTTTCTTGTCATAACTGTGAGGTTTTGCCTCTGTTCTAGCTAGAGCCTGGGACTAGTGGTAGGTAACATAACTTTGCATCTAGTGACATATTGTTCTAGGAATGGCAGATGTAAATGGTTTCAAGGTTGAATAAATATGTCTGACCTAGAAATCAACACCCCACAATAACCCTTCATGAAAAAAACTCACAGTGCAGGTTTGAGGGATTATTCTTTGGAAAGGAATTATTCACTTTTAATGTTTTTATCATACTGAAATAATCACCAAGAACTTCTCACCCATCTCGTAATGTCAACATTCACGTACTTTATTTATCATGTCAGAAGTAAATTGGGAGTACAGTTATAATGTATTTAAAAACAAAAACAAAGTTTAAAAACTTGGAATTATGCTAAATGTCCTTTGACCAGAAGTTGGCCACTTGGAGTGCCTCTGGTGTTGCTGTGAGAAGATCCTCCATTGAGCATTTGCATTGTAGTAGGTGGTTTGTGATTTGCTGTTCTCCGCACTTGCATGTCATGGACTCCACTTTGTAGCCCCATTTCTTAAGGTTAGCTCTGCATCTTGTGGTGCTAGAGCGCAGCCTGTTCAGCCCCCTACAAATCACCAAGTCTTTTTGTGCCCAGAAGGGAATCTCTCATCTGGTATCAGCCACTGATTGAGATTCCGGTTTTAATAGCCTGCTACTTTTGGAGACTCATTTGCTGAGGTTTTCCTGTGAGTATCTCTGTGGATCTTAGGGAGCTATTTGTTGATTTAAGGCATTGGCATGCCGGCTGATATATGAACAGAGGATGGACTGGAAATGTCAATACCTTGGTCCTTTCATTACAAGCTGCTACTTTCTGATGGATAACAGGTGGTGGAATACCGGCTAAACAGTATAATTTCTCCAGCAGTGTTGGGTGCAGGCATCCTGTGAGCCACATCCACTGTTTTAATGTGGTGATATATTTTCCACACTGGGCATGCATATTCAGCAGCAGAGTAGCAAAGCACAAGGATAGATGTCTTTACTGTGTCTGGTTGTGATCCTCAGGTTGTGCCAGTTAGCTTTCTAGCACCAACTTTCTGCTTGATATTCAAGCAGTGCTTCTTGTAACTCAGAGCACAGTCTAGAGTAACTCGTGAGTATTTTGGTGTGCTACAATGCTCCAGTGGGATTCCTTCCCAGGTGATCCTCAGAGCTCGAGATTCTTGTCTATCCTTAAGATGAAAAGCACACCTTTTCATTTTATATGGATTAGGAATCAGTTGGTTTTCCCTGTAATAGGCAGTAGGAGCAGGAGTGCTTTTGTTCAACCATTTCAAAACTAACTGCTTGAGCGGTGATGGCATGATTGTCAACATAGATGCAACTCTCTGTCTCTTCTGGCAGTGGCTGGTCATTTCTGTAAATGTTAAACATTGATGGAGTGAGCATGCTTCCTTGAGGTAGGCTGTTCTCCTGTTTCTGCTATCTGCTTCTCTGGCTCTGGAACTCAATGAAAAAGCTGTACTACCTTCCCATCTTTTGTGGCTTGTATCTATGTGGCTCTTCTCTGGCCTATTCTTCCCATAGTAGCCCCCCCCCGCCCCGCCCCGCCCCGCCCCAAATATCCTTTTGCTTCTGCTCTATGGTATAATGCCTGAATAGAGTTAGAGTTCTACTGGACAATTTGGAATTATAACCTGTTTTAAACTCAGCCATTAAGCAAACAAGGAGCAGTTGGAAAAAGTAGCACATTATATGAGCCTTCTCCTCCCTAAGCAATAAATCAACAAATGTCTGCTGAAATAAAAAGCTATCCATCTGCTTGCTGCAGAATACAGGGACGGTACTAGTCTAGCCTTTCTGGGAAAGGAGTTCTAAAGCCTGGGAGAAGCCGCTCAAAAGGCCCTTCCCTTTGTTCCCATCCAATATACCTGTGTGGTTAAAAATCAGTAAAAGAAACAGGAACCTCTTCTCTTCTAAAACACTTTCCAAATCAGGAATACAATGATATCATTCAGGTATGGTGAGTAAGATCAGAACAGCTGCTGTCTTTTGTGTTACTTTTTCATCTTTTCTTCAGGACTAATTTGTAGTGAGTCTTCAATATTCAAAATACAGTGCCAGTATACCCAGTGCAAAATGGCAAGGCATTCATACAGTAAAACAGTGATGTAATTGTGTTACATTAATTTAATTTTGTCTTTATTTGAAGTACTGTATTTTCATATTAATATCAAGTCAATACAGATTTTATGGAGTGGTATATGGGGTAAAGTAATAGTTGGGCCTAGTTTTAGTAGTAACTCTTAAGCAACCAGAAACTAAATGTAATGGCAGCTGCCAATTCCCTTGTCTGCTGGTTAACTGAGAGTCTATATATGAGAAATAGTACTATTTTCCAATAAAGGAATGTAAGAGGTTATTAGGGACTAATAAGGGCTGTATTATGATAAAATTTATTTATTTATTTATTTATTTACCGTATTTATACCCTGCCTTTCTCAACCTCTTAGGGGACTCAAGGTGGCTTACATATATAGGCAGCGATTCGATGACATGGAAACATACATAGTAAAATAAACATATACATTAAAACAAGCATTAAAATAGGTAAAACCTTAAAACCACTTATTTAAAATCATGTTATCCAAAAACATAGTCCATGGCTGTTCCAAATTGTCATTCCACTTGTCATCGCCCTAGTCCTATGTTAAGGGAAAATAAATTAGAAGCAGACGATGCTTAAAAGAAAGCTTCTAATTAAAATCTGGACGATCATTCCCAAGAAAACTTAATTCAGAAGGACTTTGGTCAACATAACTTCATGTTGTGCAGACCCCACCCTGAAGATAGCAGGAAAAAGTGACAAAACCACCTGACAATCTCTAATATAGAAAAAAAAATCCCAGGTGTATTTATGTTGCTGCTGACAATGTATCTCGGAGTCTTGAAATGGAGTAAGAAGGGAGGAGAACGAAGGAGGAGAAATACTTTGAGCTATGGGGAGGTGGGAGGAAGACCATAGGAAAGAAGCAAAGTATGCATTCTAATGCTCTTGGGTGTGTCCTTTTTTAAAAAAAAAATCAAGAGCAAGTTATGAAAGATAAATGTCCAACATCTGACACATGACAGAAAGGAAGAGTAGCTGAAGCTTGCCATGCATTGTGGGGAGGAAATGTAGATATGTTGTCTCAGTTCCGGCTGCCAAATGAGTGCAGGATCTGCATTGGAGATGGACCCTCTGTATATCATCTGGTCAAATGTACCCTCTGTGTCTTGTAAACCTAAGTAGCTGGGGCTGCACTGCTTTTTGTTTTTTTAAAAACCACAGGAATAAAACCACTCACGCTGCAAGAGCAGCAGGCAGGCTTGAAACTGCCCTCTGCCATATTGAATGGAGATTTCATGCAACTGCCCCCTCCCCATTTTAAATAAAACGACTCCAGCTCTGTATGTGTGGTAATAATCTGCACATGAGTGACTGCAGTAATGCTTGCAGTTGCAGTTGCCAGCAGGGAAGTAAATGATCACTTCTGGCACACACAATGGACTCCAGCTTTGCCTGGGTGGCGTTTGTGGCAGAACAACAAACTCAGCAGCAAAAAGAGGGGGCGAGGTAGGGTGGGGGAGCGAAATCGCCCTGGAGGTTCAACAAATAGTGTGAAGTTTCCAAGAAGGAAAGGGGTGGGAGGGAACATGCAATACACACTGGGTGTGTGGCTCAAAGAAAACACACCCTGCCAGACATGACAGGAGCGTTAGCAGCCTTTTGCATTTGACCTCTCTAGCTTTTAAGAGAGGTGGCAAGGCATATGTCGCCAGAGCCATGCTGTGTCAAGGGAAAGTTATCTCTCTCTCCTTTTTTGTCCCCTTCAGTGTTTCTTTCTCCTGGTTACTGGTTGTGTGTGGTTTGATATTCAAATGAATCTGTCAGGAACAAGAGTCTGGTGCTCAGGCCTGATGACATTGATTTGTGAGCATAATGCTCGACTACGGGATGTGTGACAGATAAATTTTATCAAAATTAAGGCACAATTAAACATTTCATCTTCCTAATTACTGGCTGTAGATTCAGCCTGATGACCATGTGCTGTAAGAAATCAGCGACCATTACACATTTTAATGGAGCACAGCTGTCTTACAGCTTGGTAATATTTGCACAGTGCCACAGAACTGTAATTTATGATAAAAAGAAAAAATGTGTATTGGCTCTCTTTTGCCAAAACAGATTAAGGATTCATATACTTTAATGAGATTTGGACCTAGTCTTGGATTATCATTATAAATGATTTATGTGCATGTTGGTGGACTCCTGTAGTTTTGAGTTGATTTGTGTTTTGGTCGACCAGTGTGTAATTCTGCCTTGCCTTGTGTGCCAATGTTTACACTTTCTCCTTGGTCTCCTTGATTTTTCTCTCTCCGCTCCCCAGTGACCCATGGAAAAACAGAGAGCAGGAAGGTCAAAAGACATGATATAAGCACCTTACTTTGTCACAAAGCGTGACTGTTGGGAGAGCATTTTGGGAAATTTCAGGAGAATTATAGAAAAGCAGAGTTGTAAGTAGTTTGAAAGGGTGTTTTCTATTCAACATTCCTAGTATAAAAAGTTATCAAGATTCTGTATCATGGCGCACAAGCAGAAAGCATGAGCAAGCAAAGTCTTCCATTCAAACACTGGGAATGGGAAGGGAGATGGAGTGGGGGAAAAGGAAAGCACTTTTAAGATAAGCGGTTCTTATTTTAGCAAGAGCTTTTGTGGATATAAACCCCTTTCTTTGTATGCATTGCCAAACAGTTGTAAGGCATCAGGTATAAAACATATTTATATACGTTATTTTAGCATGAGTTTTCATGAAGATAAACATATTTTCTCAAACGCAGTGCTCAGTATTATTAAGACCTTTGCTAAAATAAAATAACAGTCTTAAAGATGCTGTCCCATTCCATTTTTGTCTTTTCCCTTTCCTGCTTTTTGTTCTGCAAGAGACAAACATAGCTATTTCTTTGAAAACTGATATAGGAAATATGTGTATGACAAGAGATGGCTGAAGCCAGGCATGTAGCCGGGGGGGGGGGGCTTGAGGGGCTTCACCCCCCCCCCAAATTCTCATGGTGGTTCGCAAAA